TGTGTGTGTGTGTGTGTGTGTGTGTGTGTGTGTGTGTGGTGGGTCTGGGGCATATTGTGTTCGGATGCTTTCAAGATACATTGTTGTGATATACATTTGGGGTTGTTCTCTACACAAATATGTCAGCAATTTTTAGATTGCTATTTTTATTATTTTTAGTTTACCGAGACCGTAGAACACTACTTTTGGTGGGTGATGACCGGGTCATCTGATGTGGCTTTCTCCTTCTTTTCTGTCAACTTATATCTATTGTTGTTACCTCATATACTTTTTTTTGTTGTATTTTACTCTTATGTAGCAGCATCTCTAATTTGAGGAACTAAATTGATCTATTTAATTTAGTGTAACAACTGTCGTAAAACTCTAGCAAAGATACGAGGTAGGCTGCCTACTCGTCATAGTTTTTAAAAGTAAATAGATTCACAAGACAGAGCGAAGTGGAGGTCCATGATCGCCTACGCCAGTTGGGAAGGCACCGAATGATGATGATGATGATGGTGATGATGATGAGATTCGTCGAAAAAAAACCCCCCAAAAACAAAAGTTACCCGTGACGTCACCACAGTGTAAAGGGAGGCTGCGCGCCGAATAAGTGGCTCCTGGTTCCCCCAAGTCCCCAAACTATGACCGGCTCTCTGAGTCATCTCCCTCAGGGTCTTCCGGCCCAATTCTGACAAAGGTCTTGGGGTTCTCAAACCGGAAACAGAAACGTCTTCTCTCTATACATGGTCGCTTTTAAGCACAAGGGGGCCATCCTGAAAATGCGGTTTTGAGTAAATCGAAGGTAAAGTTTATGCCCCTTGTTCAGTTTCTTTAAAAGACAAGGAGAATTCCCTCTATAACCAAACAAATATACACACCAATGAAACCAAACTTCTCCTATAGGTCAAGATTTCTGGAAACCCCTCGAACTCTAGATTAGCTCGCTTGTCCTTAAAGCGACCAATATAGGGCAATCTGTTATCCTACTTGTATGGCACAGTCTCTGCTAGGGCGGCCCGTTAGCTGTTACTGTTGCATTAACTCATCAAGTCAGACTACGGGATGGACGGTTCTGGTTCAAATCCCCAACCGAACGATCTTAACCCAGTGAACCCTGACCCCCTGGGCCCAAAATAACGCGTCCCCTGGCTTCCAGAGAAAGAAAAAATGTCCGCATGCCAACACACGAAAGACACATTATTATTCAAACCAGTTTCATTTTATCTGAGCTGCCTTGACTATTGCAATAGTTACCAGGAACCTACAAGTCTTTTTGACGTCACTTCCCCCCTTTTTATCCTTATACAGACTTAACTGTACTTTGGTAAACTAGCACACACCGATAGAGCAGAGTATTGGTGCTTTGGGGCAAGGGCAAATGTCTTGCACACCTACCTATATATCGGTGTCGCGAGTACTTTGGGTTAAACTTGCTGAGGTCGATTTGTGAAGTAAAAACAAATCTCCCAACCTATATCGTTTGGTCCTATCGGAGTCGGACGTTACATTCGGAGATGTCGTCTCTTCATTAACCTTACGATATTGTAAAGGGTGTAAAAACTGCTCCTACACGTCTTCCTCATTATTCATGATTGTTTTATGATAAAATACACGTTCTCCTTCTTTCATGAATATCGTATATCAAAATACACAACTTCTCGCCATGCATGGTTGTTGTTTGTCAGAATACGAAGTATTTGGGAGAAGAAAAAAAAAAACAAAAAAAAAACAGTTTTATTTCTCTCAGGACATTATCTTAAAACAAAATGTTTAATTTGTTCAAATTCTTCACTACTTTAAGAAGAAGAGTAAAACGAAGAACAATCTACGCACCTTTCATACTGTAAAACATACTTTATTTTCCTTTTTGTCTTATCTCTCCTTCTTTTTGTGCTTGTTTTTCTCTTGTAACACCTCTACTAATGTTCGCACTTATATGACCGTATAGTTTTGAAAGTGCCTTAAAACTCTTACTAAAACTAAACAAAACAATTGACGAATTGCTGTGTTGAATGATAACGGTGATACGAACCAACAACATTCTTGTAACCTTCCACTCGTACACTTTCTGATACTGAAATCTACTGGCCGCGCAGACAGATTTTCGAAGACATCGAAAAACTCCGAAGGTTGTTTGTAATGTGTCCATTTTTAACGGAGTAATGTTATGATTATAAATCTGTTTTTCTTTTAAACTAACAAACTAACCACAGGTAGAGGTGATGAGCTCACGGGGGTAATGTAACGATCGTAGCTTCCTTTATGGAGATACTTTTTTTTTATCTGAGGATCCTAACGTAATATTGACGCGATTCTTGCCAAGAAATTAATACAGTTGGAACTTGATGCCACGAAGATGATTTGGAGAAGGGTCAAAGTAACATTCTGTCAGGTGTTAGGTTCATATTTGTGTGTGCGTGAATGTGTGTATATGTATGTGTATGTGTGTGTGTGTTGCGCGTGCGCGCGCGTGTGTGTGTGTGTGTGTGTGTGTGTGTGTGTGTGTGTGTGTGTGCGTGCGTGTGTATATGTGTGTGCGTGTGTGTGTTCTTGTGTATGTAGATTTCATGTTTCACGACACCATCGATATTATTATGTAATGTACTTTCCACTTTGTTATTCATGCAGCCTCCATCTTGCAAAACAACATGACCCGTGCGCAACCCGCGTGAACTCAGAATTTGTTTTAGCGAGCGACATGTGGTGGGCTCGTTTGGAAACGCATCATAACTTATCCCCCACTTTATGTAAAGGTGTTTATTCGTCGAGCTACAGCCAGGCGTCGTGTACTCAATAGCCGGCCGACCGGGGTATGTAAATGTAAACAAGGAGCAGCCCGCAGTCTCGGCTAATTGCTGCTAATGACGTGAATATGAATATCACGGTCGACGTAACACCAGAAGACTTGTGACAAAACGCTCTTTCCTCCGCCCAATCCGAAACTCCGGGGGTAAAAAAAAACAACCAGCAAACAGCAATTATTAAACTCTCGGAAAATTAAAGTCTCGGCAAAACAACATTTTCTTGTACTCAATATCGATTGGCGCTCATACGACCTTATGCAGTTAAGTTGCGAGTGCCGTAAAACCTTACTAAAACAAACAAACAAACAACAACATATCGTTGGATGCTGTTTAATTATTATCATATGAAGACGGGGTGGGCTAGGTTTTCCCGAAATGTCTTAGAGTCGGCGCATAGCACATTTTGTACAGACAGGGGCTCTTCCAACACTTTGAGATCTGTGATCACACAGTGAATATTGCCTCTTACGGCAAACAAAGTCGGGTTCGAGCCTCGGTTCAGACACGGATTATTTTCGCCCCCTCCTGCCCACCCAGCAGTAATGGGTACCTGACTA